GGAGTAGAAAGCCTCATCTTTCTCCCGCGGAGCGGCTGGTAGTTTCAAACCGCTGACCTTAAGGTTCGCAGCCCGATTCGTAACCACTACGCTATTTATATTATTAGTGATGAGAAAAACTAAAATCTTAAAAAACTAAAAGAATGAGCACCATTTTATTCAGGTGCTCAAGAGTACCATCAATAATGACAAGTTGTATAGTTTGTTGTTGTTGTTAAATGCCGTCGAGTAGTTTCCAACTCATAGAGACCCTGTATAGAGTTTCCAAGGAGTAACTGGTGAGTTTGAACTGCCGACCTTGTGGTTCAAACCGACCTTATTGTCCAGTGCTTTAATTCCACAGCACCACATCAGGATAGTATATGAGGGGACTTCAAAACGTTAGTGGAAAAAATGGAATTAAAAGATGATGGAGGAAAAGATCATAATCATCATCATAATAAAAATACCAGGCCTACTGCTCAGACGGTGACTAGTGGCACCCAGAGATATGGCCTTTAGTCACCCTTCAGGTCTGGAAATGAACTCAATTTTCAGCCAAACAATAGACAGGGGGGAAGAGGGAAATAGCATTAGGGAGGTATACGCATCTTAGAATAATCAATCATTTGAGATCAAAAGCGCAGCATTTCCAAAGGACAAACAGAAAGGTTAGGAAAGCAGTAGGATTTGAAACAGGAAAGACAAGAGGAAGTGTAGTAAGTGATGCTACATTGAGGGGATTGAAATCATTGAGATGAAACAAATGTGTGTGAACTGTTGAATGGAAAACTGATCTTAACCTAATTCACAGTAAAAGTTCTTCTTAATTAATTTTTTAAGAAAAAGATAATTGAAATTTTCCGTGAATTTTTTGAAGTCTCCTTGTGTACCCATGTGATAAACATAGCACTTTACCACAGTGATTTTCTTCCCTAAAACACACACTCCCTTTCTAATCATGAAAAACATATTAGATATAACCCAACTGTGAGAACTTTCTGGTCAGTACTTTTCAAAACTGTCAAAATCATCTAAAACAAGAAAAGTCTAATAAATTGCCCTAGCCATGACTAGGAAACATGACAATTAATATATCATGCTATCCTGGAACAGAAAAATTTGGTACAAAGTAAGAAAATCTAAATGAAGTATGAAATTTAGTTAATAATGTTGTTCAATACCGTCAATTTTGTTCTGACTCATGGTGACTCTGTATAGGGTTTACAAGGACTAACTTGTGGGCTTGAACTGCCAACCTTTTGGTTGACAGTCCAGTGCTTATCCTACAGCACCACACTAAGATCCCTTAGTTAATAATAGTGTATCAATATTGACCCATCAATTATACCAAATGTAACATACTGATGTAATATGGACTTCTGGTGTGGCACTGTAGGATCAGCACTGAACTGCAAACCACAAAGTTGGCAGTTCAAACCCACCAGCTGCTCCTTAGAAACCATATACAGGGTCACTATGAGTCAAAATGAACTAGACAGCACTTAATAACAACAACAATAATGTAATATGTTACTAACCGGGGAATTGGGTTTGGTGGTATATGAGAACTCTGTATACTATCTTCCTAATTTTTCAGTAAATCTAAGTATTCTAAAACAAAACAAAATTTTAAAACATGATGAAGATAAAAGAATAGTTAATAAAATTATGCTATTTACATATTATGGAATATTGTATAATTTCCTGCAAAAATTCCATTCTCTTTCCTTTCCATTTTCCATGAACTTTTTGAAGCCCTTCATATTTTTTTCACATTGTTGCCATGTAAAAAGGTTACAAAAACAAATTCTTTTTCCAAACTATACCCAAAATTAAGTTGATTATAGAGCTAGAAATAACTACTAAAGAGCAACCTATTTATTTCTCACATAATGAGTTACAGGAAACTCAATCGTTCACAGGCATTGTTTTCAAATTTATTAGAGAGACAAGTCCCACAACCTCTGGTAAATTGCTCTAAAAATGCAGATTCAATGAACTATTTTCTCCTAGTGACTCCTTTCTTATTCTCCTATTCACTACTACCAAAACACATCTCATCGAGGGCTAAAATTTCTGAGAAGTCAGTCTCTGTCATCCCCTCAAATCATTTCTGCTTTGGAAAAAACATATAAACTACTTGGTCTCGTATCTGCTTAGTCTTGACTCCATAAATAATGGGATTCAGCATAGGTGGAGCTAGCATGCTGACATTGGCCAGTAAGATATGGACATGTAACGGTATGTGGTGTCCAAATCGCTGTGTGAGAACTGAGAAGATTCCAGGCCCATAAAAGAGAATAATGACACAGACATGGGAGCCACATGTGTTGAGAGCTTTGTGACGAGCATCTTGGGAAGGACTGTGGAAGACAGCATGAAGAATCAGAACATAAGAAACAAAAATGAGGACAATATCTAAGATCACTGTGGACATTAAGACAAAAAACCCATACCAGATATTTATGTGGATGTCATCACAAGCATATTTGGCCAAGCCAATGTGTTCACAGAATGTATGTGGAAGAATATTATTTCTACAAAAAGTCAGTCTCTTCAGAAGAAATATGATGGGGAAAATTGTACAGTGTGCTCTCATAAAAACCACCACAAAAATTTTCCCAATAAAGGAGTGAGTGAGAATTGTAGTGTATCTCAGTGGGTAACAGATTGCAATGTAGCGGTCAAATGCCATAATCAGCAAGATGCCTGACTCTGAGATGAAGGAGGAATGCTGAAAGTAAAGTTGAGCAATGCAGCTATTAAGAGAAATTTCCCTATAATTGCACCAGAAAATGGCCAATGCCTTGGGTTCTGTGGTAGTAGCAAAGATAATGTCAACTCCAGCCAACATACAGAGGAAGAGATACATAGGTTCATGGAGGCTACTCTTGGTAAGAATAATAAAGATGAGCAGACCATTCCCAAGGAGAGCGAAGACATAGGAGATGAAGAGGGGGATGGAAATCCACATGTGTAGATCTTCTCGGCCTGGGATACCCAGCAGATAGAAGACCATATGGTTAACACCAGTGTGGTTGAAGCCAGCCATTCCTGAGGCAAGCTAATGCGGACTTTATCTTTCTACTAATAGATACAAAGAAAAATATGGATTACATATAAATATTGGATCGGGGTGTGTGTTTTCTAGTTTAATGTATCAGATTACATATCTGCACTTACCAGTATGTCCTCATAATACCCCACCAAAATGTCAATGTTGTTATTGTTGTGTGCCATTGAGTTGGTTCCAACTCATAGTGATCCTGTATGGGGTTTCCAAGGAGCAGCTGGTGTGTTTGAACTGCTGACATGTGGTTAGCAATCCAGTGCTTATCCTATAGTGCCACACCAGGACTCTCAAATATCAGTGAGAGATAGGAACAGCATGAACAGAGAAAGCAGTGAGAGAAGAGCAGCGCAGGAGAGACAGTGACATTTGAAAGCAATTGAATAAATATTGGCTATTGACTAAGCAGTTGGAATCAAACTAACAGCTTCTCGATAAAGATAGGAATCAAAGTGACTTTCACTGTAGAACCCAAATAGTCTCAAGTATTAGAGATATTATGGTGGTCTCTAAATCGGGATAAGGGTGAAGAACACTTAGACTCTGTATCACCTTTCTTAACCTATCTATCCAAGAACCACTTTCCTAACTCAAAAATCTTTTATTCTGTTACTCTGTAGTGGGATTAACTCAAGACGATTCGGAACACTCTAGGCATAGCTGTGAACAGGGGTACTATGCTACAAGGAGCGACTTAAATGAAGAAGCTGTACAAAAAGAAAGACAACATACTGACCCCAGTGAACTTCTCTCATTTGTGTCTGATAATACTATACATTCCCTTCAGCCAGATTTTAGAGATTCTAATCAAGCATACACATGGAGATGGATTGGCCTAGTGGCAGCATCGATGGACTCAAGCGTGGCAACAGTAGTGAGGTTGGCCCAGGATCAGGCAGTGTTTTGTTCTGATGTGCATAAGGTCGCTATGGGTCAGGACCGACTCTATGGCACCTAACAAAAACATAGACATGGAATTTGCTTTCCTGACAAATCACTCCAACCTAGAATTTACAAAACAATGAATCAAAACAGTGATATTGTCGTTAAGTACTGTCCACCCAGTTCTGACTCATAATGACTCTGTATAGGGTTCTAAGGAGCAGAGCAGCTGCTAGGTTTGAACCTCCGACCTTGCAGTTAACAGTTCAGTAGCGCCACACCAGGATTCCCTCATTTTGGTGGTGCTTATCTTCAAATAAGCAAAAAATAATAAGATTGTTGATGCTATCTTCTTATCTTCTGCTTATTTAAAGACTACTGTTGTTAAGTGCCTTCAGGTCGGTTTTCATTCATAGTGACCCTGTACAGGGTTTCTGAGGCTGTACTTTTTTGCTGGAGCAGAAAGTCTCATCTTCCTCCCTCGCAGCAGCTGATGGGCTTTGCAATCAAGTGTTTATCCTACAGAGCTACCATGCTCCCTATATGAAGATGTTTTTGTTGTTGTTAATTGCTGTCAAGTCAGTTCCCACCCATAGTGACTCTGTATAGTGTTTCTGAGGAGCGGCTGGTGGGTTTGAATTGCCGACCTTGCGGTTCAAACTGACCTTGCCGTCCAACACATTATCCTGCAGTGCCACACCAGGACTCCACCAAAATGAGGGAATAAACCAAACTAGAGAAGCATGGGCTTCAACAAAGGAGCTGAAACAAAGATACAATACAGGAGGAGTTGTAGGTTGTAAGAAGGTGAGGGAATTCCTTGAATAATGGTAAACAGTGTCGGCTGTGAAGAGTCCTAGGGGATCATGAGTCTCACTTGGATCAAGGGGATAGAGGGCACCATCAGGAAGTTCTTAAAGGAAAAAAAGAGAAAAGCTTGTTTTTAAACATAATGTATATTTCTGGTGGAAAGTAAGAATAGGCCATTATTAACTCTAGAGAGGAAAAAACTTGTATGAGAAAAGAAATGTGTTCACTATATACTTCAGTTGTTTAATACACTTACATAATCATTATACTATAAACATAAGCATGCATCTTAAAAATCATGATATAACACTAGTAATAAGATCTGTAAAAGAAAGGTTTATATGTCTGAATGTGTATGATGTGTAGGAAGAAAACTTAATACTTTGAAAAAGGGAACAGCCTTTTTGTTTGGTTGGAGCTATAGAGGAAAGCTGGGGAATTGGGGAATAATCTTTGAAAAACAGCAGCTGGACAAGTTCCCATTTATCCTTAAAGTCCCTGTTGTTGTTGTTAAGTGCCGTCGAGTCATTTCCAACCCATAGCAACCCTGTATAGGGTTTTCAAGGGGTGGATGGTGAGCTTGATCCACCGACCTTATGGTTCAAACGACTTTGCAGTCCAGTGCACTAACCCACAGCGCCACGCCAGGACCATTTTAAAGTCAACTAGCCCATGCTTTTTTCCTAAAGAGGTTTTACTGAAACTGCCCAGACATCCTCCTGCCTTTTGCTGCCAAGCAATCTCCCTCTCCCTCACCACTCAGACTCTGTCAAGTGTAGCAGTACTTTGCCTGCATGATTCATCTCCCTAAGGCACAGTTTTGTGTTTAGCTATTAGAGACCTGATCTCATTGATCAGGAGCTACATTCTTATCTATGAAGCACTTCTAACAAACTCTAACTTCCTTAATGGATTGGGCATGCCATTTCATCAGTGCATACGTACAACATAGCACAGAAGGAAAGGAAATTAGAAGTGTGGGAGGGAAGGAAGACCCAGTGAAAGAGCAAATCAGACGAGGGACCAAAGCAAATCTTACAATGAAGGAAGCAGCCTGAATTCAAATAGCTGTCAGAGAACCTACCGTTTATTTCTGCCCTATCAGCCCAAATTTGGTCATTGGCGTTCTCTACAATCTGTTCACAGCACTCCAAACAAAATGCAGGTATTATCAATCTTCTAAATTAGTTTCATCACCATGGTACTGTGAAGACTGCTAATATTTAGCTCTATTTGCCCTTCTTTGTATAGTCTAATATAGGGCAAAATCAGTCATCAGCTTCAAACTATGTCTTTTGAAGCAGAAATGGAATCAGAGACTGGAGAAACTTTAGGGAGATGAAGATTGAGCTACAAAACTAATTATCTGCGAGAGTTCTCAAAAGGCAGCTTCTAGTCCAGGAGCCCAGTGCCCTTGGGTTTATATTCTACCAAATTGCCCACAATCCCTCTTGGGCCAAGTCATTATAGTTACTTTCCACTGCCTTTTTTTCTTGACAAGTGGTCCTCTGGAATATACCCAGTTCTTTTACCTAAAATGATGTGTGTACTTTCCATACTCAGAGGCTCTTAATTACAGCCTAGAATTCTTTCTTGATTTGATGCTGGCACAAGAATAGGGTAAACCCTGATTGTCACCAGGTGGAATTCCAAGTTCTATCCCTCCGCATTATTGCCAGTCAACAAGAATTTAACTTTCTTTTCTCACCGAAGCTCCTCTGTGGGAATTCTTAGTGGAGATATGACTTCTACTTAGGTGTGTGAACCCTAAGCATACCGGCAGTGGCCTGTTTTCACTATTGTATGCAGAATTTAGACTTCTCCACTTAGAACTGAAGGTGTCTGGGGTCGTTTGTGGAGGCATAGGCAGGAGACTTCAGGAGGAAAAAAGTTAACTGTGCTTGAGTGACCTTTACTTATGGTCCTGATGGGGCTCTGAAGAAAACAAAAGAACCAGTTTGCAGATTTCCTGTTTGGAGCGCCAGTGAAGGATAGACTGAAAGAAGGGAGGGTTACAAAAGTGAAGAGCCTTGTCCATTCCCTAAATGGACCATTGTTTCTCCAGGTCAAGTAAACCCTGCTTCATTCCAATCTATAGTTTTGATTTTGCACTCACTGAGGGGAGCCACAATTCTCTTTTTCAAAGGCGGAAAGTCCTATGTTCTCTCCCCATCCCACACCTCATAGAAACCTGTAAGAGGAAGGCCCTGCTTTCCCTCTTCAAGAAAGTTCATGCTCACACTAAATTGCAGCAGACATGAGAGCACTTATCTAGTCTCATGCTGTTGTTGTTAAGTGTTGTCCAGTCAGTTCTTGACTCATATCGACCCTGTATAGGGTTCCCAAGGAGTGGCTGGTGAATTTGAACTGCCAACCTTGTGGTCCAAATCGACCTTGCCGCCCAGTACTTTATCCCACAGCACCACACCAGGACTCCAGTCCCATGTGGGAGGGAACAACAGTAAGATTCATTTGAAGCTGATCCTTTCATTCCTCTCTTGGAAATATCTGTGGCCTGCTCTCCGTAATCACTCAAGTGTGATGTATTTACTCTCCGTAATGGGGTCTAGCAAAACAGCTGACAATCCACTTTATCTTAAGTTTCAGGATAAAAACGATAACATAAAGTAAAACCAATTGTCCTCTTCACATGAAGAAAGTGTTCAATTTGTTCCTATGTTTCCAATCTAACTCCGAATTCTGTCACTTTTGCCTTAATTTCGCTCTCATTTTCATCTGCTTCTTTCCCTTCCCTCCATTAATTTGTCCTCCAAGCTTGACAAAATCATCTCCCTACTCGCACACTTGGTTCCTCTACCTTTTCACAATCCAAGTACAAAGCTGATCATGTTCTCACCTTGCTCTGATAATCTAGTCTTGTTCTTGAGAAAGACTGTCACTTTCACATTTTTTAATAAATGTCTTATGTTCTATTCACGTGGTTTAAAACCCTCTGATAGTTCTCTACACACCAGCCAGCCAGCGCCTCCATGAACAAGGCATTCATAGCTGCAATTCACTGCACCGAAAACATTCTTCTTTGCCTCATCTCATATCTTTTACTCTTCCATTTACAATTCAACATCATTTTTAACAGAATTCTGTAGCTATATGTCTATTTAGCAATGCATTAGCTTTCCCCCAAAATATGTGCCTCTGTATGATGGACTTATCACAGCTGCCCTTTTGTATGTATTTGACTGTTTAATTTACTGTCTCTTCCAGTATCTGCTAACTTCAAAATGGCTAATGCCCTCTGTTTAGATTCATCTTAGCATTTTTTAGTTTTG